GTTCTTCCCGGACACCGCGGTGAGGAGGTCCGAGCCGGACGTGTAGTTGTAGAGCTCCGGGCCGAGCATTGGATTGTTGTAGACCGAGAGCATGGCGTCCTGCCCCGCGCTTCCGCCATAGCCACTACCACGAACCGACGCTTCCATGTTGTCGTGATGATCATGACCTTGGTGGTGGTGGTGGTGGTGGATTTCTCCGCCGCCTTGCGATCGTCCATGATCGCCGCTGTGATTTGGAGAGGCTGGCTGATGCTGCTGCTGCAAGGAGCCGGGGATCCGAAGCTTCTCCCGCCGGCTTTGCTGCGCTACGTGCTGTAAGTTGGTGTTCATGCTATGGTGGCCAGAGTTTGATCTTGTTTGATCGATGGAACTGGTGTTGATCGCCTCGGCCTTGCTGCTACCCCTACCACCACCGCTGCTACTGCTGCTGCTGTGGCTGCTAAGTTTTAGATCTCCCGTCGCCGCTGGTGTAGATCCCAGGGAGTAAGCTCCATGATCGCCGCCGCTGGCCCGCTGGTGGTGGTGGTGGTGGTGACTGAAATGATCGCTAGGATGATCGCGTGTGGAGGAAAAATAGAGTGGAGTATCGGTGGTGGTGGCGGTGTCTCGCGGTTCGTGGTGGAAGGTGGAGGCGCCGCCGAGGAAGGAGTATGGCGTTGTGGGCGATTGGAACGAGTCTCTAGCACTCGTCAGGACTTGCATCAAGGACATGGTGTTGCGGTGCTTCTACTGGACGAGTTCTTTCCGAGGGTACTTAACATGCTTCTCTAGGAATCTGCGAGAGAGTCAAAGCCACCACACACAAAGCATGCACTCGTGAGCGTGATTAATCGCACAAGCGGCATGAATTCACGAAGAAATAACAAGAAAAGAAAGAAAAAGCTCGCAAGAAGATAAGAAAGAGATTCGAGCGTTCAAACAAGCCATTCGACAAGAGTTTCTACGAGGACTCACAGCAACTTCGCATTTCAACTTCCAGGCCGAGAGAAATTCCAGAAACTTGGCTGTAGAGAGTGCACAAACGAACGAGTTAGAATTCTCGACAAGCTTTGGATGAAACTAGGAGGAAGATGGATTGACGATGGATAAAAATCACGTCTTTGAGCAGGAATAAAGTCCTCCTCTCCCGTTCCCCCTTCCCTCTCCCACAATCTATCCGTGAAGTGACGCTTCTCAAAGAAAAGAAAAGAAAAGAAACCCACAAAGATGCGACGGATGGATGCTTCCTGCTGCGGTGATTTTGCTGCTAGCCCCACAACTTTTGGGATATGAATGAATCTCTTTCGGAAAGCTCGAAAGTTCTCGCCTCGAGCGGCCAGCGCAGCCTTTGATAAAGAGTGGAAGACTTCCATGATGCTCTCAAGAACATAGAGGCTACAGCACTCGTCCTTGCAAATTCAATGCTAGAAGGAAGATGGCCCAGACCTTTGGAAGAGAACAATCCAGCCAAGCTATCGCACGACCAATTCTTTCTATCCGGAAGGCAAGCCCATCGACCCTCTTCATGGAGAAGAAAGAGAGGAGGAAGAAAAAAGAGGGAGAGAGAGAGAAAGAGAGAGTCTAAAGAAGCATGGACCTGGAATCGAGAGAAGTAGAACTCACCAGCGTGATCTTGATAAAGTCCACGATGATCCGCCTCACTGTTCACTCCACCGATCGCAAGAACAAAATCAGACCACGCAACCAATCGACAGGCTTCCGTCGCTCCACGAGAAAGAAAGAACCAAGGAAGGGGCAACTCGACTACTTCTACCTCGATGTTCTCTCTAGTAAAGAGCACACACACTCCACACTCCACACGACCACACACAAAACGCTACGCTCTCGCTAGAGCAAAGAGACACACTCTCTAGGCTCTCGCGCACACACTTTGGACTTCTCGCAAATCGATGGAAGAAGGGAGAAGAGGGGAGGAGGAGCACAGCAAGCACTCTTTAGACCCGCCTCTCATCGCTTTCACACCCAACAACAACGCCCTCCAACATCTTTTCCTCTCTAGCGAAGAACAAGCTTGGATCCCACAAGAAAAACACCACTTTGGCGAGGAGCTCCCTCTCAACCTGGGTTGATCCACGGAGAATCAAATGAATCCACTGCTTCGCAGCTACTGTTGCTGCTTCTTCCTGGATCGATTTGATTTGCTTTCTTCTCTCTATATGCTGTTACAAGTTTGTGCTGCTGGCCGCCATGCTACTTCGATCCACAAATCCGTCCATGTCCGCCCATCCACATCTCACTCTGGATGATCTGGGGTCTTGTTTCTCATCCCCAGGAACTCCAACCACCAAACACAAACACACACACACACAAAAACGTAGCTCACTAGTAACACACCATGAAAACGAGAGCTTTCTCTCCCAGCCCTTCTCTCCTTCTCTGGGTGTGATTTGACGCACCGCGAGAGGGACACACAACACAAGGAATATGAAAAGGGCTTCTTCTTCTTCTTCTTCTTCTTCCCCCTCCTTCGTCCCTCTTCCCCTCTGTTCTAACTTAAAGTATTAAAGGACAAAGAACTATAAAACGGAGAAACGCGAGAACGTCGAGTAGAGACCAGCCTTGGATCGAGAAATCGATGTTGGTGTTGCTGGTTTTGGCTTGGATCCCACTGCAAGCCACCAAAGTAGCTCGTCTCGCGGCCGGATCAATCAATCGGCCGTTGCTTCGCCCAAGTCTCTCTACTATCTGTGATCATTCCCCATCATTCTCTTCGTTCTTGGTTCTTCTTCCTCTTCTTCTTTTTCCCCTTGGTCGTCGTCGAGCTTCGTTCCGGACACACCAGGTCGGATCAGGCAAGCACGGACCATCGCGATTGATTGCTCGTCGTCGCCGCAGTGGCAGCGGCAGCGCTGCGGACGAGCATCATCGCCCCCCTTTTAAGAAACCCAATCAGTCACGAATCACGAATCACGATTCACGAACACAAGGGGGGCTTGGGACAAGGTTGCTGTCAGTCAGGTGACAACCCTTTGTCTGGGCGAGTGTGAGTGAAGTGAGAGTTGAGAGGAAAGATGAGCCTGATAACGAGAAAGAGCCTCGAGATCTCCTTGATTGATGGAAGAAACCCAAGAACTCTCTTAAGAACTGGAAAGGGGAAAAGAAGCAAAGGGCAAAAGAGAAAGAAGAAAGAAAACGAGAGAAAGAAGAAAAAGGAGAGACCAAGGATTTGAATGAACACCGGAAAGCTGCCAGGAGGAGCAAAAGGCGAGAGAAGAGTTTATTATTCTGCTAATGCCGGATTAGTGGGGTGGTGGATTAAGCCGCCATAGCCAGCGAGCCGCGAAAGCACGCACGCGAAAATATCGATCGCTCGCTCGGCGACGAGCGAACGACCGACCGATCGGCCCCGCCCTCTCTTTTGGACGACGAGAAGCTGGATCGATCGACCAACCGGGCAGGCCTTTACAAAAAAGAAGAAAAATTTGGATCCCTCTTTTGTTTAGCTAAGCGCCTCCAAGGCAAGCATGAGATCATCACCGAAAGACCGCGTTACCATAGCTTAGCTTTCGCGGTCAAAATTTTCAAGTTTTTCTAAAATTTGAATTTGAAATTATTTTCAAAATTTCAAAAAAAAATCTGTTGTTTACTTCCACGGCCCGTACATGGGCGACAAAATAGACACTCCCCCGTCGCTGTTAAAAGTTAAAACCACAAAAACACTATCATTTCGGCCGGCTTGCCTTGTTAATTAACAAACCAAGTGCAAAAATCATCAGTCACCATCCGGTCTTTTAATCTTTTACCACATCCCCTGTCTTAAACGCCCGCCAAGGGATATTCCCGGGCATTTTCTCGACGAGATAGTCCTCTCTCACCGCGGAGTACTTCATATATGCGTAGGAATCGGCCCGGCATTGCATTTTGAGTGGTTTTCTTTTCCACGCGAGATAAAAGATTGATCGACAAGATGCCGCCAAGATGCCCGCCCTCGAATAGCCCTGGTGTTTTAGCACCGGATCAGATCATTGACAACACCGCCAAACGGAATGTTTAGGGGAACCCCGTCCCGGGCATTTCGCCGGCCCCTCGCACGAATTTCCAACGCCAGAACACGAATAAAAAAAATGCCCTTACAGACGGCGGGCAGCAAATGCCCGCAGGCGCGCCCGTACGGAGATGCCGTACGCGGGGATGGCCCATTTTGACCGTCCGATCCGCGTATCCAACGCTCCCAATCATCCAGTATACACTGGGTTGACCAGAGGACGCGTGGCGCCAATCTGTTCAAGACCGTACGAACGTTGTCTTATCCGGTGGTATCTTCCACGAGATAAACAGCGCCCCAAAAAGGTGGTGGGATAAGCTGGCTAATGGAAAAAAAGATTAAGACTAATGCGGTTCTTGGAGAATGTAATCCCCTTTAAAGTACACTGCAGCAAAGTAGAGGGGGATCAAAGCGTGCCAAAATTTGGATTGGAGGGATACTTTGATGCTTCCAGCAGCCCATGCAGCCAGCCAGCTCTGCGCTCACTGCTAGCAAGCTTGTGACACAAATTGGAGATCGTATTTCTAGTGCTCCTGATGATCTTGCCCCAGATTTGTACCCAAGCTTTAAAGCCCGCTCGTCCTTGTTTGCAAGAGATATGGAGGCCCTCCTCATCTTCCTGGCGAGATCGAGACGAGAATTTAACTCTTCCTTCAGTCGAAAGAGGTTTCTGTATATAATATTTGGGAGGTATCAATCTTTCGCTATCAAGGCCTGTGTGTGCTTTGCAGATGTGTGCCTGGGCCGCTGCTGGCTACTGCTGACTTTGTGTTGGGCTGGCTCAGATTGTTTTTGGGCGATCCTGGGCGGGGTGGTGATGGATGGGTGATGGATCCATCCATCGGCTCTTGGCCGGGTGGGAGCTTGATTGAATTTCGGGGCGGCGGAAGTGAAGTGTGTGCGTGGAGG